ATCTAGAATTTATAAAATACTTGAGCACCACAACAAGAGAAAGGTAAATAATCCAATTAAAAATAGCTCTAAGACAGATGCAAATAAAAACAACTATGAGATTCTCTGTTGGTGGGAGTGTAAAATGGTGCAACCACTACAGAAGGCTGTATGGCACTTTCTCAAAAAGTTGTAATTAGAAATACCATTTGATCCAGCAGTTCCAGTACTGGAAATTTACCCTAAAGAAACCATAACCACCACCCAAGCAGATATATGCACACCCATGTTTATTTAGGCTTTGTATGCAATAGCAAAGAGCTGGAAACAACCTAGCCCATCAACAAACGAATGGATAGAGAAGCTCTGGTATATTCACACAATGGCATACTGTGCAGCATAGAAAAACAAGGACCCCTTGAAATAATATACAAAATGAGTGACCCTGGAGGACATTATGCTGAGTAAAATATCTCAGTTACCAAAGGACAAATATTGCATAGAGCCACTGTTGTAAAATTGGACTGACATCCAGGTTGAGGGAAGACAGAAGGAGGGGATGAATAATGTATACTGCATTGAAACAGAGGAGGGAGAGAACTGTTTGAAAGGGATATATGGTTGGGTATTATTGTCATGACAGGAGTCCAAAATGAAGGCTGCACTGTGGTGTGGACTTGGGGGGAGGGATTGTATAACAATGAACTAGTTTTTCTTTTACTTTTCAAAGTGAAGAGTGAATTGGGAATGGGCAGGGAGAAAAGTGTAACAATGAATGACTGGAAGGAAACCCTAAGTCTCTGTAAACTTTCATTAAAATTAATTTTTAATAAAGAAGAGGTGGAGAGGGAAGACAACACGCAGACTTCAACCAGGGGAGAGCTGGAAAATAGACTTCACTGTATTAGGAAAAGGACAAGGGAGATATAAGTATCTCCTCATCATGGTAAACACATTCCCCCACCAGGTCAGAAACTACTCAAGTGGTGGTCAATAAATTGCTTCAAGAAATAAGCCTCCAATTTGGTTTGCCCAACTCACTGGGGGCCTGTGTTAAAACTGATGGCCTAAGCACGAGGGATACAATGGAAACTACACTGTGCTTACAGACCTCAGCGCTCAAGATAGGTAGAGAAAATGAACCCAACTATTAAAGAAACTTTGATCAAACTAATTTTGGTGAGTGGCTAAGGGTAGGTGAGGCTCCTTCCTTGGGCCTTACTTAGTTAGGGTAAGGTATACCCCATACAGGGCAGGATTTACTTCTTTTGAAGTCATATTTGGGAGACCCCCAACCCCTCACTGAGTGTGAAGCCAGAGGCCATTGCTGAATTGTCTAAACTCGGAACTAGTCCAGTCTTTACAGACTTTCCAGCAAGTACAGAAGGAGATCCAGTTCCAAATCCAGGCCACCCATTCATTCCCCAGCTGGGGCATCATCGAATGTGCCACTGCACCCCTTCTTGCCAGGAGTCTTTGTCCTTGTCTACAGACACCGCCCTGGAAATTTAGGGCCCTGGTGGAAGGGCCCATACACTGTGGTCCTCACCACTCTGACCGCTGTCAGTCACAGGACATCCAAGTGGATTCACTGGACTCACCTGAAGCACCCCCTGCAGGATGAGCAGGCACTGAGATGGAAAGTCCAACCCACCAGAGATCCAGGCAAGATTCAGCTTACAAAAATTGCCTTCTTTTTTTTTCTCTTAATTTTTGTTGAGATTTTAATGAAAGTTTATAAAGAACTTGGATTTCCATTCATTCGTTGTTGCGAATTTTCCTCCCTGCACCACTCCCTATCCCCCCTTTAGAATTTTTCTTTGGAAAAGAAAATGTTCTTTCATTGTTAAACAGCCCCCCCCAACCATTTTACTATGCATGTCTTATTCTGGACTCTTGTCTTGCCAATAATAACCAATCATATATTCCTTGTATACAGTTCTCTTCCTCATCTGTTTCAATGCCGTGTACATTATTTATCCCCTTTTCTTAGTTTCTCCCCAAGCCCCATGTCAGTCCTGTTTTATAATAGTAGCATTATGCCTTATTTGTGACTGAGATAATTCACTCAGCATAATGTCCTCCACAGTCACCTATTTTGTATAATATGTCATGAGTTCTTTGTTTTTCAGTGCTGCATAATATTCCATTGTGTGAATATACCACAGTTTCTCTATCCATTTGTTTTTTGATGGGCACTTTGCATTGTTTCCAACTCTTTGATATTGTGAACAAAGCAGCAATAAACATGAATCTGCTTGGATGGCAGTTCTGGTTTCTTTAGGGTATATTACCAGGACTGGAATTGCTGGGTCAAATGGTTTTTGTATTTCCAACTTTTTGAGAAAGCACCATACTGCTTTCCATAGTGGTTGCACCATTTTACACTCCCGCCAATAGTGAATAAGGGTTCCAGTTTCTCCACAACCTTGCCAGCATTTGTTGTTTGCTACTCTCTTGAATTTTGCTATTCTTCTGGGGTGAGATGATATCTCATAGTTTTGATTTGCATCTCTCTTAGAACTAGGGATTTTGAATATTTCTTCATGTGCCTGTTGGCCATCTTATTTTTTGCAATTGGATTGTTTACCTTTATCTTGTTGTTGTGCTTGAGTGTTCGATAAACTCTATGTAAGTCCCTTATCAGACATATCATTACCTTCTAATTCTATGTATGCTTCTGTTAGCTACAGAAAGACTGAAGGTCAATCCCCTTCTGCCTGAGACATGAGGTGGAAGGGAACTCAGAGACACAGAAAACAGGATGATGTTGGCAAACACCAGCTCAGCTGATTCCACAGTGACTCTTAGAGTGGACCTTTGTATACTGTTCACATCCCTATGGACTAATGTAGGTGGTCACAAGCCCCTGGGTTGTGGAGATTTTTCTTATGACAAGACCCTAAAGGGTACGCAGTTCTATGACTGTGCAGCTAGTAGTTCTCATTGCAACCAAGAGGGATAATATCGTTGTGCCTCGTGGGGATATGAAACATCTGCCTCCTGGAAACAGGAGGACCAGTTTTTTTTTTTTTAAAAAAAATAACCATGGCCTACCAGGAGAAGTGCAAGTCTCTCCAAAGCTGTAATTCCATCATGTTCCAGGTCCTAAAAGCCCAACAAAGGAATATATGGTGGGCGGGGCAAACTTACAGTTCCAGACTATATGTCACTGGAAGGGCTTCAGGGGCAGAAATTACAATCCAATCCTACCCTGTGACCCCAAGGCTGTCCCTCAAGCCCATTGAGCCAAACAATAACCTAATTAATCCCATATGACCTGAAGGTCCTGTGATGCCTAGCATAAGTTCCTTACACGTGACTTCAACACTGGGCATTTCCACAAACAGTGAACCCAAATTTCCTTAAGGCCTGCGGGAGGTCCTCTTTCTGAGCCTCGTCAAATCTATGCACCCTGTTATTAACACCTTGTCACCCGAGATAACACAAGACTCATGGCTCTGCCTGGACCCTCAACCCCCTTATTATGTAAGAATAGGAGATATAGATAGCCTAATTCCAGTCAATCTTTCTGACTGTCCTCTTGACTTCACCACAACCTCCCTGAACTTGGGGGATTTGTCTGGGAGCAGGTCTTGTTTCATGCCCCCTAACTATAGACTGGACAAGTCCTCCTATTCTTCCTTCTGTAACACCTCTCAACAGTTTAACAAAATCCACTTCCCATCACTAGGAGAGGAACTTTATTTGAAAGTACCAGGGGGTTCCTGGTTTGCCTGTACTGAGGGTTTGACCACATGTATGGCCACTGGTAGAATGCAAAACCAGGATGATCAACAGGTCTGAGAGTTTTGTATCTTTTTTAATTTTATTTTAATAATTTTAACAAACATTTACAGAGATTTTTTATTTCCATTCATTCATTGTTGTACTTTTCTCCCTGCCCAGCCCTCCCCCCTGCCCCCCTGTCCCAGTTCGCTCCTCTCTTTGAAAAGTAAAAGAAAAATTCTTTCTTTGATATACAATCCCCCTGCACCCCTCCCACCGCCCCAAGTACACTCCACTATGCAACCTTAATTGTGGACTCTTGTGATAACCATATTATGGTTATCACGAGAGTTTTGTATCTTGGTACATGATCTGCTCCAAGTACTGATATACAGTGGAGAGAAGAATGGAGATCCAGAATCCAGACCCAAGCGGGGTAGGGGGCTTAGGATAACTGAAGCACGTCAGTAGAGGGGGAAAGGAGATTATGAGAGTTACAAATTTGTGTAGATGAGACCAGAAAAGTGACATTAGGAGGAGAAGGAATAGATCTACAAGAGAGATCTAGAGGCTGTGAGCCAAGAGAGAAAAGGAAACAGGAAAGGAGGAGGTAGAGTGAAAGAGGAAGAAATAGCGATGAGAGATAGATGATAAGACACATGGGGGAGGGTGAGAGAAGGAGGTAAACATGTTGTAAAGAGAAACCTATGAAATGAAGGCATTTATAGATCCCCACAGAAGATGGAGGAACAAGAAAGGAAAAAAGAGGGCATTTGAGGAGGGCAATAGATGAAAGAGAAGTGGACTTTGGGAAAAAGAGACCCTAAAACTTTTAGAGATGACAGGAAAGGGTTCTGGAAGAAGAGGTGAAGAGGCAGCGGGGGTGGAAAGAGGAAAGGAGGTGTAGAAAGGGCTAGTAGATAGAATTCAGGCCAGATTGGGGGCAGGTTTGCATGAGCTATGGGTTGTTGGAAGTTGTTGGTGAGGTCCACAGCTGCCAGGAGAGGATGTGAACACAATCTATTCCATCCTTCCCCTTGGACTGGGGAGAGCAAGAATTGAGGACAGGGCCTTCGGATCATCTATAAAAGTCTAGGTTTCTTAGGAGAGATGAGAATGGCTGGCTCTCTTCTGGACAAAATCCTCACCATTTTGGGAAGGGGTTTGAGTTAAAAAAAAAAAAAAAAAGTAGGTCTCCCGGGGTCCCTGAGTGGCAAGCAGGGTGCCCGAGGTTGGTCTCCCTGGACTGAAGAGAGGGAGGGTGCAAGCCCAGGACTGTTAAGATTCTCAAAATGGCTTATTACCCGGATCTATTTGTCTGGGTCAGTCAAGAACCATTTCCAAATGAGGAAATGGAAGGAAGGCTCCCCAAGAGAAGACTTCCTGTCCCAAAGGAAGTAAATCGCAAGAAGGGCGAAGAGACTGCTGCCGCCTCCCTGAATCAGCTTGGAGGCGAAGAAGTCCTTCCCCCAAGAATCAGTTACTTCTAGTCTTTTTAATAATAACACCTCCATTTGCATCACATATGGTGTATGGATATTGATGAGATCATGGTATCATAAATGGGATTTTTTTTTCTGTGTAAATCATCAAGTGTAAGAAGAAACTATGGGACTCTGAGCCTTGTTTTAGAGAATTTACAGTGGACAAATGGTATCATCAGTTTTTAATTATTTTTACTCTGGTGAAAACACCCAGAATTTCACACTGTGAATCCACGTTTACAACCCTTACAGGTGGGCCTTCAGGCCTGGTTAGCTACAACAATGTCTTCCACAACTCAAACCCCCACTGCTCTCACACTCCTGCCTTTTCACTCACACAGCTCCTGACTGCTTCTGACAGAGGCTGAGAATCCCCCTATTTTTTTTTTAAATTTTTCATTTAGATGTAACAAGCCTAGTAGTTTATGTTCATCGATTGTCTGTATATCTCTATATTTTACCCATGTACAATTTTGATGTATAGAAGTAGTTTGAAACTCATTGTTTCCTTGTGGTAAGTGACCAAGATGCTGCCACAGGACCTGAGACACTGATAAGTGGTGCTATTTTGGACTTTCAACATGGAGTTATTTTTTTATTTCCATGTTCTAAGAAGGAAACAAAGTTGTTTCCCTGAATGTTGTTCTCTAGACTGGATTGACTTGTTTTCCTTGTGTCTTCAGTGTGGCTTTCTTCTTCAGTGTTGTAGGTTAAGTAAATGCTACCAGAGAGTAAGAGACAGCTGTCTCATGGGTTGACCCTCAGAAACGTGCAATTGCTGTAGCGGGAGCAATCACAAAACTGTAATTTATTTACCAAATCTCCTTTCTGTAGGCTTGCCTGCCTAACTGAGAGGGGGGGGGAAAGCAATAATTTTACAGGCATTTTCAGGTGAATTTTTGGATTCTTTTTAGTCTGAAAAGATATTTGAAAAAGGGACAAACTCTTTTTGACAAAAGGCCTCTGAAAAAAAAAATCCCAAAACCTGGCATCTTCATAAGAATATGAAAATTACACATTTCCCAGAAATAAAGTTGGGAAAAATAGCTTTACAAAATTTAAAAGAAAAAGAAGGCAGAAGCATTATTTTGGGGGGGCAATTTTGACAAGCAAGGTGTACAGTTTGCATTTTTGTCCTTGCTCCCAATGAAATGGATCAAAAAACTAAAACCAGAAAATACCATCAACTCATGGAATGTTGTTGTGTTAGCCAGTCTGAAAGCCCACCTTAATTTTTATATAACTGTCTATTAGCTCTTCCTTCGACGGGGCAGGCCTGGTTCTGAACTGTCTGCTTCTGTTAAACACGATGATGCAGGCACTGCACTTCCTTCTCTTCTTGCTCCCCCACTGGACTGATTTTCTTGTGCATTTCTCCCCACCCTCCTTATGCTGTGTAAATAAAACAATAAAACAGTATTCTGTATCTGTGGCATATATGTAGAGTTGCAGTTGTGTACCGCTGAAAACACAGGCTTTTGTAACAATGTGATCTTTACTGATGCACCCAAGACAAGTACCCAATGTATTTTGGCTATTTTAATAGGATTTGTTCAATAAATATGCAAGCTGTAAGGTAAAAAAAAAGTATCAGGTTTATTTCAGAAATAGAAATACCAAGATTTGGGGGCCAGAAAGCTCTGCTTGCTACACTCCCTGCCTGCCAGGACTTGGAGACTGCTGTTGTGCTTGCTGTGTTCCTGGAAGAGGAAGCCAAGCCTAATACAGCAACATCATAATAAAAAGGGGGAGGAAATTGAAAATGTCAACCATTTCATGAGGATGGCACAGGCCAGGGCAAGGTTCAGATCTCTTGCCCATAGGGTCACTATGAGTCTACCTGATGGCATCTAACAACAACTTCTCTAGCTATTTGAATTTACCAGTGGCTCCTGAGTCGCAAACGACTTGACGGCACATAACAACCTTGGGAGAAAGGTGGGAAATCTCTTCCTGTGTGATTTACAGTTTCTGAAACTTGCCGGAAGGTCAGCTGTCAGTCGGTTCTGACTCCACAGCAGTGAGCTCTAATCTCTGTTTGTCTTATCACTAGGAAACTAAACTCCACCAGCCCTGTGACCATAGTTTGTAATGTATCAGGCAGCAAATCCAGGTAGTTAAACTTCTTAAGTCCCAGTACTACCCCTTACCTGTTGAAGATACTCCTTGTTGAAATTTCAAAGGTTTGAAATGTGTATAAACCACCAGGGAATGAGAAGCCAAACAGACTCCATTTTATGTAGTACTCCATTTATGTTAACTAAACCCCTGTGTGTGGAAAATTTTTGCCCCAAGCCTTAAAGTTTTGTCTTGAACTGCTTCCCAAAACAGTAACTGCTATTGTTTATAACCCACTATGTAGATGTTTTGCATTCCATGTACCCTTAACATATGTCATTGTGCCTTTGAAATATGTTAACAGCAGAATGTTGTGGTTAAGACATATGTTAGCTTTGGCCCAAATAGCCCAGCATCTAGGGCTGTTGTTGATTGCCTTGGAGTCGAGCATGACTCATAGTGACCCTATGAAAAAAGGCCCGAAACTTCTCTACAACTATCAACATTTATCAAAGTTCATAGTGTTTCTGGAGGCATGTTATTTAGGAAGTGGGTGTCACTCCTGCTTCCAAACCTGTCATGTTGTTGTTGTTGTTGTTGTTGTTATGTGCTGTCGAATCATTTGCGACTCATAGCAACCCTACGTACAACAGCCCTAAACCCTGCTCTATCCTGTGCCAATCGCATTGCCTCTGACACACCCATCCCGATTACCCCAGTCACTGAATCAATCCACCTCATAGAGGGTCTTCCCCTCCTGTGCTGTCCCTCTACCCTACCAAGCATGATGTCCCTCTCCAAGGACATTTCTCTCCTTACAACATGTCCAAAGTATGTCAGACAAAGCCCCAGAATCCTTGCCTCCAAGGAGTAGCCTGGTTTAACCCTCTCTAGGATGGATCTGTTTGTTTTCTTGGCAATCCATGGAATATTCAATACTCTTCTCCAGCACAACCTGTCATAGTATGTTATTATGTGCCATTGAGTCTACTATGACGTATAGCAACCCTATGCATAGCAGCTCTGAATCCTTCCCTGTCCTGAGCCAGTCTCACTAAATCTGACACCCCAACCCCCATTACCCTAGTTACTGTATCAGTCCATCTCATCTGGTCTCTTTCTCTCCTGCACTGTCTGTCCACCCTTTCTAGCATGATGTCCTTCTCCAAGGACCGATCTCTCATAGCCACATGCCCAAAGTAAGTGAAGTGGATCTTCAAAATCCTAGCCTCCTAGGAGACACTTGGTTTCACCTTATCCAGGACAGATCTATTTGTTTTCTTGGCAGTCCATGGTATGTTCTCTTCTTCAGCACCTTCAGACTCTTCTCCAGCACCACAACTCGAAGGCATCTATTCTTCTTTTGTCATCTTTAGTCATTGTCCAACTCTCTGAACCATAAAAAGTAATTGAGAAGACCATTGCCTGGATTAGTCGCACCTTAGTCTTTAAACTGACATTGTTGCTCTTCAGCACTCCGGAGAGGTCCAGGACAGCAGATATTCCCAGTCCAGTTCGTCTTTTTATTTCCTGACTGCTGGTGTTAAGAGCGTTGATTATGGATCCAAGCAAGCTGTAAATGCTAACAATCTCAATCTCTTCTCTATCTATCATGGTACTACTCATTGGCCCAGTGGTGAGAATCTTTGTCTTCTTGATGTTAAGCTTCAATCCATATTGAAGACTACAGCCCTTGACCTTTTGCAGCAAGTGCTTCAGTCTTCTTCAGTTTCAGCAAAGTTGTGTCACCTGCATATCATAGATTGTTAAAGAGTCTTCCTCCAATCTTAATGCCACACTCCTCATAAAGCCCTGCTTCCCGAATGATCTGTTCTGCATATAGATCGAAAAGGTATGGGGACAGAATGCATCCCTCAGGCACTCCTTTCCTGATTTTGAACCATACAGTGTTTCCTTACTCTGTCCTGAGGACTGCTTCTCGGTCCAAGTATGTTGTTACTATTATGTGCCGTCAAGTCGCCTGCGATCATAGCGACCCTATGTACAACAGCCCTAAACCCTGCTCTACCTTGTGCCAATCTCACTGTCTCTGACACACCTACCCTGATTACCCCAGTCACTGAATCAATCTACCTCATAGAGGGTCTTCCTCTCCTGCACTGTTCCTCCACCCTCACAAGCATGACGTCCTTCAAGTATTGGTCCCTCCTTACAAAGCTTCAGAATTCTTGCCTCCAAGGAGCAGCTTGGTTTGACCCTCTCTAGGATGAACCTGTTAGTTTTCTTAGCAGTCCATGGTATATTCATTACTCTTCTCCAACACCACAGCTCAAAGGCATCAATTCTATCATCCCTAGTCATTGAGAGCTCTCTGACGCATAGCAAGTGATCAGGTGCACCTTAGTCTCCAGTCTGACATCATTGCTCTTCAGTACTTTGGCGAGGTCTCTAACAGCAGAATTTTCCATCACAATATGTCTTTTCATTTTCTGGCTGCTGGTGCCAAGTGTGTTGACTGTGGACCCAAGCAAACTAAAGCTGTTAACAGTCTCAATCTTTTCATCATCCCTGAAGACGCTGCCAATTGTCCCAGTGGTGAGAATCTTTGTTTTCTTGATATTGAGCCTCAATCCATATTGAAGGCTGCAGTCCTTGGCCTTCTGCAGCAAGCACTTCAGGTCGTCCTCAGTTTCAGCAAGCAGGGTTGTGTCATCTGCATAATGCAAATTGTTGGTGAATCTTCCTCCAAACCTGACGCCACATTTCTCCTCATAGAACTCAGCCTCCTGGATAATCTGTTCTGCATATAGATTGAAAAGGTATAGAGATAGGACACATCCCTGGCGTACACCCTTCCCAATTTTGAACCGTGCAGTGTTTCCTTGCTCTGTTCTGATGACTGCCTCCTGGTCCATGTCTAGATTTCACATTAGCACAATCAAGTGTTCTAGGACTCCCATTTTTTTCTCAGAGTTA